GGCGGAAGTCCAATGTCGGCTACCTGCTGCACGGGACCCCCAGACCCTGGAGTCGGCCCTCGCTGCACCCGGAATGGGCCGAGACGGCCGCCTTCAGGACCCCGTCACCCGCGGGCACCCTAGGTGAGTGCCTCGGGAGGGAGGGATGGGCAGGGGGCGTGGGCTCAGGTGTGGGACGCGCCCTGTCGGTGCGCTTAGTCTGCCGGCTGCAAGGGGAGCCAGCCGGGGAGGTTTTCCTGGGGTTGCGCAGGCCCCCCCCCCTCCCTCGTCTTCCCGATTTTGTCCCTTTCCCCCGGGGACCTTGCTTGGACAGGAACCCGCCTAGGCTGCGCTTGCCTTGGAGGTCAATTCTCAGAGAATTCCGGAAGTAGATGTACCACTCTTAAAAGTTTGATTATCGTGCCCATTTTCTGAATACCAACGTTTACGATTCTTCGCTAAATTCTTGCTTTCGGCACGTCCTCGTGAAGGACTAGTGGATGGGGAGGCAGATGGTCACCCTGGTCTGGCAGCCTCGCTGTTGAGTGACCGAGGACCAGCTAACCTGAGTGCTCCGCGTTTTCCCTTTTGGAAAACAACCCCTCCACTCGCACCCTGAGCGTGAGTAGATGCAAGCCTCTCATGAGGAAAAACGTTCCTACTATCAAGAAACTTAATTCTTACTGCTGTCTTCGTGCTGACACATGGAGATATCAACAATGCGGGATGTTGAGTTCTGACTTCTCATTGAACCTTAGTATTGGAAGAAATGAGCAAGATGATCTATGCAAGCCCGCATCGCCTGAGCTCTTCAAAGGCATTCCTTTCTCCCAAGGGGAACGTGAAACTATGTAGAACACACTAGAGATATTTTTCTTGATCTGCAGAACTTTTCTTTACAACCCCCCTCGACCTTATTTTGTGCTCTTATTGTGCCATAACCAGAGATGTCACGTATGTAGACCAAGTTATGAGGCAAAACGCTTATTTAAACAAGGAATACTTTTTTTTTGCAGGAATACAGATACTTTACCTCACTTTCACTCATTTTGTTCTGGTTTTGCAAAGCTGTTGTGATGATTTGAATGTGATAGGCGTTGAAGGTTTAAAAATAGCCCTTGTCCGGAAGCTGTAGTAGTCATAGGGCAGAAAAATATGATGATGGCTTACAATTATGATGAATTTATAGCCACAAGAGCTAAGGGCAGGAATAGTGATAGGAGAAAAAAAATGTAAACAAGTAACCGAATTACAGTGCTTCAGGTCTGGATTCCTCATCGGCAAAATGAAGACACTGGGGAAATAATCTCTGAAATCTCTTCCAGATTTAGGTGATTCATTCTTCCTTTTAAAGTGAAACTGCATTGCTTTGTGTTGAAGTTATTTATTAATCCATTTTTCAATTGTTTGAGCTACCCAATGTCTTAATCATCAGCTGTCTTCAAACTGGAGGGTAATGGAATCCAAGCCTTTTATATCACTTTATTTAAAATCACCTACATAGTTTCAAATTCTGAGCAAAAGATAATATCGCCCTTCTCGAACTAGGAGTGAGTAGTGCTGTGGCAGCCTATAAACATTTCTACAAGGTACTGTGCTTATAGAAGAAAGAGTTCTTTTTTTTTCTTTTCCTTTTCTATTTGTTGTTAATCCTTATCCAAGGATATTTTCCCATTGATTTTTAGAGAGAGTGAAAGGGAGTGAGACTCAGAGAGAAACATTGATGTGAGATCGGGGCTGACTGGAATCGAACCCAAGATCCTTCAGAGGGTCCAACACTCTATCCACTGAGCCAAACTGACTAGGACTTTATTCTATTTTTTTAAAATATGTTTTATTGATTTTTTACAGAGAGGAAGGGAGAGAGAGAGTTAGAAACATCAATGGGAGAGAAACATCGATCAGCTGCCTCCTGCACATCTAATGGGGATGTGCCTGAAACCAAGGTACATGCCCCTCGCTGGAATCGAACCTGGGACCCTTCAGTCCGCAGGCCGACGCTCTATCCACTGAGCCAAATCGGTTTCGGCTCTATTCTATTTTTTATTCAGAGAAAATTCAAAGCACCTCCTGTCCCCTCTTTTTCTTTTTCTAAACATGAACTCCAAGTTTTTGCTGCTATTATTATTAGGGCTGAAAAGTAATTACTGTGCCTTCCTGGGTACAGTTGTTTCTCTTTACCATAATATAGTCTGTAGTATCTGTTGGAGAATTATCTGGTGTTTTGACAGGTAGTCTTAAACTATTGAATGACCACACCTTATTCAATTTGGTGTGGTAAAACAATTAGAAAGTGCTTCCTTGTTTTAATCAAATCTGCTACTCAATATTAAATCTCATCCAACTATCTATCATTATATAAATAGAATCTTCTCATCAAAAAGCAAACAAGGTTTAAATTCCTAAGAAGTGCCAATCTATAGTACCTAAAAAAGTATTTACATATGAAAACCACAATGTTTAGACTCATTGCATACTCATAATCAAATTGTTATTACTTTCCCTTTCAAAGAAGGAACATAAACAGATGTCAAGAACTGAGCAGAGAATTCAGTTTAATGGTGTTGTGTTATATTCTATGATTGTGAAACCCACTATTTTTAGAGTTCTCTGCTTTTTGGTCAAAAAAAAAAAAAGAAAAAAGAAAGGAAAGAAAAAGAAGTCTACCAACTGCATTCTCCATATGTAGCTGAATGTGAATCTTCTCAAATGGGGAAAAGAGAGAGGTGAGGTAATTAAGACAGGCTTTGGGGACATATAGCACCCAAGTTCTAGTCCCACTTTCATTATTAGTTGTGTGAATTGGACCAAGACTCTTAACTCATTTCTTAGTTTCCTCATCTGGACAATGGAGAAAATAGTACTTTATGGGACTGTTGGGAGGATGAAGTACAATTATATAGGTAAATGTCTGGCACAAAGCAAGCATGCCAGATAGTATCCTAACAAGGAATCATTATTCATCTCTATCCCAAAGAGTCTGGCACTATCCCTGGCACACAGGAGACACTCTATTAATGTTCACAATAGCTACTATTTATTAAGTGCGATTTGTGTATTAAAGAACTCTGCTATGTGATACACACGTGAAGACATGTGTATGAAATTTCACAGCAATCTTAATTGGTAGGTAGGACAGTATTATGCCCATTTTGCAGTAGAAGAAATTGAGGCACAGAAGTTTTACTAACTTGCTTAGAATCATAAACTGGTGTTTAGTTATCCAGGACTCAAATTCAAGTACACCTGGCATTATTGCACATAATTCCATTATGAAAAAAAATTTAAAAGGACATTTTGTATGTGTGTGTGTGTGGTGTCTGATTGAACTTTTCTTATTTTGTGTTTTATTTGGTTCAACTTTTCTGTTCCTTCCCCCTTTCCATAGTATGAATATCTGAAAGCTTTGGGGGTAGAGGAAAATCTTATCTACTGAACGTGTATGTTTCCTGCTATTATTCAAGGTAGCGTGTTTCCTTAATTTTATGGGAATCCTGAAGGATGTGTATGGAAGATACCTTTCTATAGAAAATACTTGTTTGTTTCTACTTCCAAAGACTACTTCTATTAACCAGGCATTTCTGAATTTAGGCTTGCTCAGGGGAGATCAGTGTCATTATCTTCATTAATTAATCTAGGCTTGGTGTAGGTCTGCAGATTTACTCGTTAGTTTGCTTTGATGGAAGGCAGATTTTTCCTACCTCGCCCTTTTAACAAAGGTGTAGCTCTTTCAAGCGTGGAACATTGAGGTTGTTTCTCATGTTCAGCCCTTTCCCATTCAGAGGCTCAAGATCAAGTGTCCCTTTCCCTTACAAGACCCTCAGGTTTCTGGAGGGAATGGTATTGCTTCCACGGCAGCGTGGGCCTACAAATTAGTTTGCTGCTAGCGTTTAGATTTGTCGTTCTTTTTCTTTTTTCCTCTTATCCTTGGGAACCTTCATTATCTTCTTATCTCAGCAGTACACTTAAAAGTATATCTTTTGTTATTTATTGAGCATCTGGGTGATGTGTGACAAAAGACTCCACATTATCATGACATGCAAGCTTTCCATAAGTAAGAGTTTCTTTTTAACGTTCTCACCATGGCTGGAATGCTCGGGTTTCCGACATGAAGTCCAGTATCATGAGTACTTCTAGAGGACTAATTTCACCTTTGTTGAGAGGGGGTTGCGATGGAAATCTGGGTAACAGGGAAAATAGTACTGTTTATTACAGTAAATGCTGGTCCTGAATCAGAACTATATGTGTTTTACTTACAATTCTTATTTTTATGACAACCCAGCAAGACAGGTAGTATTATTACCATTTACAGAAGAAAGAAATCAAGTTTCAGAAAATCTTAATTTTGTGATATTGTACAACTAGCCTAAGTTCCAGAAGCAGGATTTGAACCACGTCTCTCTGGCTTCCCTTCTCACATACTTGCAACTAGTTTTTAAGATGTCCCAGAGCTTTGAAAAGCAAAGTGCTATGCAATGACAATGTACCCTATATGTTTACATATATGTTAAGGCTAATAATATTTGTGACATGAATGAATATGTCTTGTATTTAAAACAGTGATCTACACAAGTAATTTGTTTAAAGATTTATAATAAAATGATGTACGTCAATCTGTTAATGTTTGTTAGAAGCTGCTTAAAGATGGACTTTGAGATTGGAAAGTCCTTTAGAGGAACAGGAACCAGGAAGAGTATTTTTTTTTTACTTGAATTTCCTTCCAAGAGCAGTTTAAAGAGTAGAGTAGTCAGTTGTCTTTTAATGAATAGCCATTCATTAAGTATCTGTCCAAGGCCACTACCTCTGGACTTTCAAAATATTTGGTTCAATTCTGTTGTAGTTTGTACTGAAAAAAAAATTTAACATGCCTTTGCTGGAAAGTTGATTGAAAAAAGACTCAAACAAGATGTGTTTCATTTTGTTGATGTGAGCATAGTGAGATTCACTAGGCTAGGACAGGAGCTGGTAATCTGTATTTTTAAAAAGTATATCAGATCCTTCTGATGATGCGCTTGGTTTCCAAATGCCATCTTACTGGCTGCATCAGAATTACTTGGAGTGCTCATTAAAAATCCCCAGCCACACCCTAAATAGGAGTCAGAATCTGCAGGAGTAGGGTGAGAGAAGCTGTATTTTCAACAGG